GAATAATAGCTTGAATTCTTACACGTTTTTAATCATTTGCTCGATTAAAGCAAATGAACAGTTCTCAGTTTAGGCATTCAGTTGACATCGTAAATCACCATATCAAGTGTTTATTACTCAAATAGAATCTGTGCACTACATTCACTGACAATTTTTTTGCAGCGTCGAAAATGAGACTATTTATCTTCTTTGCTATACTTACAATAGCCTATGCCGGAGGCGACATCTTTGCAATTCGAGACCTGATACCTATGTTAACTAACTGGACAGACAGAGCTCAACTTGAAGTTCTAATGAGAGACCAGACGACACCGCGATCCCAGATTCAGGCACAAGTTCAAGAAATCGTGGCTCGACAGTCAGAAGACGTTCAGGTCAATAGTGTTAATAAATTTTCAACCAACACAGATAAAGACCGTAATGTTTGCTTATTCGCTGCTCCATTTCAAAAACATAAATGAAATGGTTCCCTTAATGGAAATGAAATTCTTCAAATTTACAGAATGCATACCGTATTCTGTACGAGAATCGTCAGAATCAGATACAGCAATGGAATCAGCGAAGATTGCAACGCATCCGTAACAGAGGTATGGTGGGAGAAGCTACACGTTATGAAAATCCTTTGTTTGAAGCCAAAAAACATTTTTGGAACTAAAATTTTTAGTTATCCGCATTTTGTCACCATTTTTTGTTTTGCAAGACAATAGTTCGGATAATATTCGGATCTGCGAAATAACGAATTTTAGGATCTAAACAAAACTGCGTTGCTAACTTCGAAGAAATGACGGTGATAATGAATGATCTGTCGCTTTCTCAAAGCCAAGTGGACGAGAGAATTCAGGAACTCTATTCAAAACCTTGTCCCATGATGACTTCCACTGCTGCTGCCTAATCGCTGTTGGGAGTAGAAGAACATACGGTTTCATCTAAATGAAGGCTCATAATGAAAATTAAGCTGATTGTAAGATGCTACTGCTTAATAGATAATGTCTTTTCTATCACACTTCAGATAGAATCGCAAATATTTGTTACTGCTTCCTTGATACTTTTATGGCAATAAAAATGGTTTTTACAAAAATGTCGTTTTAACAAAAATTGGTGCTGCCGAATTACGAAAGTGGCAAAAGAAAAATCAGAGTTATGCGTCAAAGCCAATGTGCAAGATACTTCACTTGCGAAATTCAGGTAAGTCCCAGTTGCACAACTTGATTTTTAATTTTTTTAGTAGAGTATTTAAACTTAACAACAAGATAAAACATCTAAATTGGCAAACTTCTTCCTGCTGGAATATACCCGCTTATCCACTGTTAAAGACAGTGCTGGTTTTGAAATCAACAGGATTTGAGAATGAACACATCAGAACTGATTTGGAAGAAATACGGAGGCGTCTCAAACGACGCCTTCTTGTGAAAGACAATGTTTGGAAAGGGTCCTTCCAAAAAAACAAGAAAGTTGCTGAATAAATAAAACAGTTTTTCATTGTTGAAGCTGCGGAGAATTATGGAGATGAGTTTTGGTTGTTAAAAAAGTAGGAATTTTCAAGGATAGGGAGTTATTTCACAGCAAAGAAGGTGAGCGAAAAGTAGAGACGGACTGTGGAAACTGCAGGTGTAACTTTGTCTGGTAGAATTTTTGCTTATATTGTAGACCAATCTGATCAAAAGTTTCGTATGATTTCAGATACTCAAAATGATGACAAGTTTTTTACAGCTGAAAAAAAGCTAATGGTAGAATCAACCGTACAATTGTATCGAGG